GTGTTGTGTCCCACTGGGTTATCGGACGCTGCGGGGCATACTCATTTTTTTTCAAAATGCCTTAGATTTTGCTTTCGTGCTCATGGGCGGCGGAACGGGCAGGGCACCGGGGCACCGTGCCCCCTTTGATTTGGCATTTTAACGTTAGCCCTATGGGCGTTGCATGGAAAGAATGGGACCAAAAGTCGGCAGTGCCCCCCCCCCCCCTTAATTGAAGGTGTTCCGCCGCTACTGTTCGTGTTTGATGCTCTTTATTCTATAGCCAGCCTTACGACAGAGGGGGGCCCACTAATGATTAGTGCCCTAACCCTCAAAAGTTTCCAACATTAATTTTTACTTTTTTAATGGTGAAAACTGAAATAAAGCGGATATTGAACTGTGAACATCCAGTTTTTACACTGCGCCCCACACAAGCCTCCGAATGCCCAAAGCAGATCTCTGATGACTGGCCTTTGGGTGTCATACCATATACCGTGCATTGGTCAATGTGGTCAATGTGTACGACCTCGGCGTTTACCATTTTATGCGCTGGAAACTGTTGCGCTCGAAAAAATCAGGGGAGTGGCTTATTATGAGCGCGCATCAGTCCTAACTACCCGCAAGCGAATGGCTAGCCCTTCCGTCTCCGCTCGCTTGCGATTTGGCATTTATGTAGGTACAAAATTACGGCAAACGACCACTGAAGGTATGAGTTGCGTCTCTCGCACACTTAAAATATATATAAATCGAATCTGAAAAGACAAAAATAAAATGATATAAAGCGGAAATGGTTAGCATTTACACATATTCAAAAGGCACCGTTGGACAAACTGTAGGAGCGCAAAGCTGCAATATGGTTATGAAAATTACCACATGCAATAGAAAATATGCAATAGGTTATGAAAATTTTCATCATGTTTAGGGCACAAATTATGGAGGGGCAAGAATATACGTTTGCCCCTCCTCCAAAAGTTTCCTAGGGGACGGTGCCTCCTCTGCCACCCCGTATCCGTCGCCCCTGTAAGCGGTCACTGAAGGCCTGGGCTGCCGCTGCGTCACGTTGACGCTTATAATGCCTCCAAAACTAGGTTGAAGAGAGGAAAACTTCAGTTGAACGCGAACGTTTGTCATTTAAGAAAGGCAACGTATGATAAAGTATATGGGCATCTGGTTACATCTTCAGATGATCGAACAGAATAATCAGCTATGTGGTTTCTTGTCTAAACTTTGTCACAAATTATGGGGGGGCAAAAAGATACTTTTGCCCCCCCACGAGTTTGCCAGGGGGGGCAGCTGCCCCCCTGCCCCCCCGAATCCGCCGCCCCTGCGCATGAGATAAAGATACCTGTCCAGCCCGGAATGGGGTTGCGGCGTGGAGGAGAAGGATTTCAGTATCCTGAGGATGGAAACGACGGACGGGTGTCACGATCATCATGCATGCATTACAATCACATTGTATCCCGGCCTTGGTATATGCAAATTGCAAAGTTTAAATGTAAGTACTTATCTCGGGTAGCACTTTTTTAATACGACGGGATATGGTAGCAATAGAATCCTACAGTTATGGCGTGTGCGAGACATTATTGAATAACAACTCAAGAGCCAACCCAAAGCTGCAGTACTTATGTGAGTTTTGTAAATTATTTATGCTTTTTACATTTTAAAGAATTTCTTGGTCTGCATATATTGTATAGTATGTAACGTTGCCTTTATTTTGCTCGTCATTTGCAAATGAACTTGAACTTGTCTCAGTCTAACTTGAGCATGCCAAAACCACTTTGACTTGACTGACTTGGTCACTGGTTCGTGGCATGGTTTGATATCAAGGCACTATGATATAGCCTTGGTGGCATGGGTGACTATAATTTAAATAGGATCAGGCTGGGATAGGCTGTTGTGTAGTGTATACCTACCTCCCATTAGGAGTTTTGATCTTGTTTTCTGAAAAGTCGTTTCAGAAGAGTGCAAACCTAGTCACATGTATATTATTGCAGGATTCACATTTGAACTGATTGAAGAAGTGCCTATGACCAACAGATCCAAGACCACAAACATCAGTCATGGGGTGTGCTGAGCTGGATGAATTGGAGGTAAGTTTTCACTCATCTCACTGATTCTAATGATAAGCTTATGATAAGAATAAAGATGATTTGAATAATAACTGGAAGATTACCAGCAACTTTGAAATTTATGATACAAATTTATTTAAGTCTTTAATAAACCTAGCACCACGTAGCTGATACATTTTTCTTTTAGCATAGCTCGTTTAAGTATTTCTTGCATAAGTGAACTATGCGGCTGCATTATCAGTTTGATATACTAGGTTCCATTTTTGTAATTAAAATGAAGATATGCCTATTTTGCTTTGAAAGCATGCAACTTATCCACTTGTATGTTATTTCAGAAAAAGGTGAATGAGTTGTTCACTTTTCGAGATCAGTACTTTGAAACACACTCAATTGAAGAGGCTGGCAAGAAGCAAGAGGATGTACAGAGCAAACTGGATGAGATAATCAAATTTGCTGATGAAATCAAGGGTAATTCAGAAACTGTTATTTTGTAGCTTACAAAAGCTTGAGTTTTGGCTCTAAGTTACATAGTGAGTCAGTGACCTCCTGTTGGAATTTCTGTGGGGCATAAATCATTATAGGTATTTGCACAATTTAAGGTGCTGTCACTAGTTAGGTAGTAGGTTAGCTAACAACAACATTTGTTTCAGAGATGTGACTTGCTATAAGCAATGGGCTTAGTGGCCATTTATAAGTTTTTTATTAGTTCACTTTGTGATGCTTATGAATATGCTGTGTGATTCCTCAACTAGGTTTGGGTGCAAAACAAATATGCACACTTTTAGAAGACATTCTTACCAATCACTACCATTTCAAAGCTTAGCTAGTAGCCACAATGAAACACCATATTTTTGCAGGATGTCATAGAAAACCTACGGTCTGCTGCTGACCCACTAAGCACACATTATCCCTGTTCACATCCGCTCACCAGAGACGGCGGAGAAGGCCGACCGGGTGCGGTACCTGTACCTGCTCGGGCGCGCCCGTAACGTGCAGCCGGACCACTCGAGCCAGGCAGAGGAGCTGCTCAGCCGCGCCACAAAGCTCGACCACCGGCACACCGCCGCCTGGAACGAGCTGGGGGCGTGCCTCTGGAAACGCGAGGATGCTGTCGCCGCTGGAAACTGCTTCACACGCGCCCTGGAATCGGTGAGTAGCGAGAGTTCGGCAGGGAGAGTGATAGAGCAGAGATAGCTGAGCTGGTACAGGCATTGATAAATACATAATCACGTCTACAAAGCGCAGCCAGATTAATGTTTGTGTCCGACTTCCCTATGAAATCGCCTCTTCCCTGCTCTATGGTGAGTCGTGACCCGACCCTCATTCGCAGGGCAAGAACCCGGTCTCGCTGCGCCAGCTGTCGATGGTGCAGAGACAGACGGCGCCGCGGGACCCTCTCCAGCGCAGCAAGCAGGTGGAGGAGAGCCTGCTGAAGGCCAAGGAGGCCGTGGAGCTGGACCTGCAGGACGGCGTCTCGTGGCAGATCCTCGGCAACGCCTACCTCTCCGCCTTCTTTGCCATCAAACCGGACCCGAAACTGCTCAAACAGTGCCTGGTCGCCTACCAGCGCGCCGTGAGTTGCGAGTGTGATGGGGGAGGAGGAGAGGGTGAGGGGCGTGGATTGGATAGTTGATGGAGGTGTAATAGGCATTATGACGGAGGCTCTACCGGTCAGTGAACGAGAAAGCTGAAGACTAATCTCCTTTTCCGTCACACGTAAATTTCTACACTGGACCGAAACATCGTTTTTCTTTTGTAGGCCGTCTTATTCCGGCTGAAATGTTTGTTTCTTGTTTGCAGGAGAGAGATCCCGCGGCCCGGTCCAGCCCGGAGCTTCACTACAATCGAGCTGTGGTACGTTTGACCCTCGTGGTATTGTTCATACACACATGCATTGCCAGGAGCTATGGTTTGGGCTGCTGGAAGCAATCATTTTTACAAACTTTCTGAAACTACATTTTTAAATCTTGGTTTTCCTGCACACCATTCGGCATTCATCATGCATCACTGAGCTCTTTTGTAAAGGCTGCGCAAAATATCTTTCTAGTTGAGGTTTATTTGCCATTGGGCCTACAGTGCAGGGATATTTCTATCTCGCACTCCTCTGAGATGCAAGGATAAGAATTTGTTATCTCTGCATCCCACTGAGATGCGAAGATAAGGTCTCGCGGGTTCAAAGCTAAAAATCAAGAGTTCAAGTGATGATGGGTCAATAACTGAGCCATTTTTAACCCGCGCCCCACTGGGAGGGGGGGGGCTATTTATAGCCCCCCCTCTCGTTTTTCTGCAATTACTTCCAAACCGCTTGACTTATCGACGCCAAACTTTCAGTACCTTCGGCTGCATCAATTTGACACCTTGTGTCAAAATTTGAACTTCGTACCTACCATAGGACAGCCGGAAATGACGTCAGAGTGACGTCATGTTCGGCCGATTTCGACGCAAAACATTGAACCACGGCAATCGCTCCCAAGAGCTCAGTTTTTAAGCTAGATCCAACTTCTTTGCATGAGAGGACTCAGAATAGACTGCGCTATCAAACTGCTATCTCGGATTTTCGAAATTTTGAAAATTTCGAAAGTTTTATATATTAAAATTCAAAATTTATATTTTTACATTTTTTTCAAAAACTTTTTGACTTTTCGAAAAAAACCGGAATATATGTGATAGAACGCATTATTATGACTAACTCTAGCATGTTTTAGCTAAATATCTTCAAAAATGGCCAAGTTATACGCATTATTGCAAAAAATTAACAATTATTAATTTTTCAAATCAATTTTTCAGCACGAATTTGACATCGTACGCCAATATAAATAGCACTATCGTGTTCCTGAGCTCAAACTGCATCCAATAGACACCTTTTTTGTTGAAAAACTTTAACTTCAAAATTTGACCTTTTTTGACCTGAAAGTGACCTGACCTGAGCTAAATTTGACTCAAAATGACCTCGAATGACACAGACGACATCAAATTCGAAATGTTTGGCCTAAATGGACCATAAAACATGTGTCACGTGACCGACGGATGATATAATATTTTCGTGACCTGTGATGACCTGACCTTGACCTGAAAATCAAAGTACAAGTTTGGTACCCTCAGAGTATCTAGAGCATCTGTTCACGAGTGTGTAAACCAAAAATGAGCCTGATCTGACTTGTAAGACGGCGGCCAGAGCCCAAAACGTGAAGAAGCCAAAATGCTAATAATTTTTACTTTGACCTGACCTGTGACGTCATCGGTTACCTCGAGGTCAATGAAATTAGGTTTCGTTCGACAGTTTTTCCGGGGCTATCAGACGCCGTTTGAATTTTGACGATCGGCCCAGTAGTTTCGGAGTTAGGAGGGGGGGCTATGAATAGCCCCCCCCCCCCCCCCCAGTAGGGCGTGTTATACGCAGACCCCAGTGGGGCGCGGGTTAACGGTTGTTTGTGTATGAAACTTATGAAATAAATACAAAATACTCTAAATCTATTTTTACATAGATGAATACATTTGAATATGATATTTAAATAATTAAGAATAAACCTCAACATAAAAAGATATAGGATTCCTCATGGCTCACTCGTGGAAGATCGGATATCTTTTCCTCGCGTGTAACAGAAAAACCTTGCTCCTTCGTCGCTCGGTTTTTCAGTAACCCGCTTGGAAAAGATATCCTTATCTTCCACTCGGAGCCATGAAGAATCATCTATATCCTTCTCTCCGCTCCCACCCCACAGTGTCTACGAGGGTTAATGCCAGGCAGCCCTGGAGTCAGCACCCTCTCTCTTTCATAAACATGCAAGATATTACAACAAAAATTACCCGACGTTTCGTTTATTATAACTTTTTCAAGGGTCATTACCCTTGAAAAAGTTATAATAAACGAAACGTCGGGTAATTTTTGTTGTAATATCTTGCATATTTATGAAATAATCGTCACATTACAACTCACCCTCTCTCTTATTCTCATTCTCCCACCCCGGCAGTGTCTGAAGTACGAGGAGCAGTACCAGGCGGCGCTGGAGTCGTTCGACATGGCTGCGCGCCTGTTCCCCACCTGGTCACCACCGGCTGAACGAGAGAAGGCTCTGCTCCAGCACCTGAGCAGGGTGGCTGAGATGGTAGCAGCGCGCGGCAAGCAGAAACACAAACGGCTCCTGGCGTTTACTCAGGTATGGCAGATGAGAGTCTGTCTTGATGTCTTTGGAAGTCAGTTTGGCAGTTTGAAAGTATGACAGGGAGTCTGTGGAAGTCTGCCTTGGTGTCTTCGTAAGTCTAAAGTCAGAATGATAATCTTTGAAAGTCAAAAAGTCTTCAGAAGTCTTGTGTTAGTTACGATGGAGCTGTGCCAACTGCCAAGCCTGTGATGAGTAAACTCATGGCACCAGTTGCCCTCTAACGCCTACTAATACACCAGCTGTCTCTTCTTCTCATATTCCCATGCTGAACTTGAAACTTCCCGTATGAATATTTTCAAACATTACAATGGGCCTGTTCCAGCGCCTCCAGAAACCTCCAGAAAGCTCCAGAAAGCTCTAGAATCCTCCAGAGAGCGTTCCAGCGCCTCCAGAAAGCTCCAGAAAGCTCTCACCAAAGCTCCAGAAACCTCCAGTAGCCTCCAGAGAGTTGAGAGGTCCAAATTTCTCTGGAGGCTCTGGTCTACAATTATGGTGCACATGTGACAATCACGAATGTAAACAAAGGACATTTGACTGATAATTTTACAACTTGAATGTAAAGAAAATTACATTGCTATAATTTTATTTATCTTTTTAACTAAAATTGAAAACAAATTTTGCGTTTCAAGAGAGAACAATCGTCATTCTTTTGGTATCTATGACGCCAATCTCCAGAAATCTCCAGATTGCGTTCCAGCGCCTCCAGTAAAACCTCTGGTAGAGCCTCCAGTCAAGAATTTCTTCTGGAGGCGCTGGAACAGGCCCAATATTTTTCCAAACTCACGTGAACATTTCCCTCCAGTTCACTGGGGCCACGCTCGTATTGCCCTCCGATCTCGTGACTTGCATCACGTTGGACTTCCTTTGTGAACCGCGCCTTGTGTTTCACCACCTTTATTCACTTCCACAGGAGCTGACAAAGCCCCGTCTGGGTATGTACGCCGAAGAGTGCACGGTCGGTGGCAGGAAAGTGAAGCTGAAGCCGGGTTTGCTCTCGGGGCTGAGTCCCGGCACCAACACGGGTCGGCTGCTGGCAGGGAAGGTGGTCTGCAGCGTGCCCGCCGAGGACAACGTGCCTTTGTGAGTGTGTGGGAGGGAGGGAGGGAGCCTCTCGTGACGGTTGCGAGAGGGGATTTGTGTAGGGTGGGTGTGATGGATGGAAGAGGAGCATTGGGGTGATCGGGCTGTGTTGAACTCTAGGTTTGAACAAATATCACTTTGGTTTGTTATAATACAACTCACAAGTTTAAGCAATATGAATTGGTAAAGTGTTATGTGGCTATATTATTTTCCGAGAGTCAGTGCGAGGTTTCATACCATGTTGATTGTTGACCACTCTGTTAAAAGTATAAACGTTATCAACGATTACCACTGTGAGGGTCCGTATCACCTAAACACATACACCCAGAGATAAGCCAGAATTGGATGCTAACTATAGCCCCTCTTTGTTCTCCCCTCAGCACATTCTGTCTGGTGGACTCTGAAGGCAGCTGCGTGGCCGTCAACGTGTACAACCTGGCCGAGGGCAAGGGGGTCATCATCGGAGACACAGTGGTCATCCCTGAGCCCCTGCTGGTCACTGTGGACGTCCGACATAAGAACCAGGTCAGGAGCGTCAGTACTGAACACCAGTGGTTGGAAACGTGCAACAGTCAGCACGTTTCCCCGGATCCGGATACAACATTTCGAACTATGGTGCCTCGGCTGGTTTGAAACGTGTGCCAGGCGGCACGTTGTTCCTGAAACCGGATGAAACATGCTCCGACACACGCTCCGAATTATAGTTTCTTATTCACACAGTTGCTTTGTTATTCTTGCTGAGAGCGTGATAACTTACATGAGATGAAAGTTTTGCCACGTTGCACATGAGTCTGGCAAACTATTGAATATGCTCCGGAAACTAATCGAAACTAGACCCGTCACGTGAACTGTACGTTAACAGTGAACATTTCGATGTTTTCTCTCGCGACTAAGCACGTGCATTGATCGTGACGAGTCTATTGGTTTCAGATGGTGAACTTCCGTCTGATTCGCGTTCAAACGCCTCTTCTTTTGGCGGTGAACGGCCGGCGTCCGAACCCGGACGTCCAGGCTGCTGTCTTCCTCAACACTTTCAACATGTCCGACTGAGCGGCTCGTCATGCTCCCCTGGTGGGTCCAAGCCTGAGCGAAATGGAAAGAGACGGCCTGAGAACGTCGGAGTGAGGTCAGGTGAGGAACTTTGGCAGCTGTGGCCCTGTGAGGCTGTGTGTACATTGATGAATGATGAAGACACTGGACGATGGCGGGCGATGGTTGGACGAGCGTGCCTTGTGCGAGCGTGTCTGGTGCGTAGTGTTAGCAGTGGGACCACAGGAACGGCATTTTAGCGCCGAAGAAACGACAGCCGCTGTGCATGACTAGAAGGTACTCAAAGGTTGAGTGGCAGTTTCCCAGACTTGTAAGGTCGTATTTAACATTACTCATGCGTGTAATTAGAAGAAGACTAAGCGTACGAAATCAATTCTCCGATTTTGCAGTACCGACCGAGCGGCTACCGCTGTTCTTCCCATCCTGCCATCTGTCGGTCGAGACCAGAAGCTCACTGTCGGTAGGTTGTTGCTTCTCTGCAGCGAACTGCAGATGGCGCTTTGATGGCAAACGGGCTTTCGTATGTGACTGCAGATGAGATCAGGGGTTCAGGCGCTGCTGGACACATTGAAGGCGGTTTCTTTGTTGTTTTCACATTAGTTGTTCACGTGGGACTGATACTGTAACTTGCGATCGCGATGCAACAGTGTCAGCCATGCGAGCGTTTGACGTAGATTTTCCGATCGTGGTAGATTATAGGCTACACTCAGACAAGACAAACATCCTCTTCGCTGTAAGCATCTCGTGACAACCTTGCTCATTTTCAACCACAAACATTTTTTCTCCACTGTCCTCATTTTCATTTCTAGAATGCTGCGTTTGTATAGCTTCCGCTAAATCTTTTGCCATGTAGGCTTCATAGCAAGTGCCAGGTCGACATCGCTTGAGCCCTTCGTGATCAATGAACAGTTACTGGTGTGGTCTTGTGTTTCATCCTGTACAGCTCTGGAGTTAGAAATAATCGTCTATGACCCCCTGTAGTCAGTTTCGGATGGTGCCATTTCCTAGGTAGGTACAGCCCACCGCTAAAGTAATGTGTGGTTTTACCAATCTCAACAGATGGCTTTGACCGACGATTTTTAAACGCGGACTGATTGAAAAGAAGACGTCAATAGATAAAGTTGTAGCTGCAAGGGTGAAGATACATGTAAGCTACATTTAAAGTCTCGTTGCAGTCTGGCTGATTGTTCCTAGGCTTCAGAAGCAGAACATACCCATGACTGAAACCACACATTACTTCTGCTGTGGACTGTACAAAGCAGCGTCTCTCTAGGGCTGTGGTGTTGTGTTGGGTGTGAGCCTGATGGCTAAACTGAATGCTGTAGGATCAATGTTGCGGAGGGCGGTAACCAACTAACGGCGACTGTGTAAAAAGCGAGGACTTTCCGTTGGATCAGACAAGGATTTCGACGGAGGGGATTCCGTGAGGCGTAAGTCTCGTTAAAGGGACCCTCCCACCTTAACATTAGTTTTGAGTTGAGATAGCCAAATTGGTGGCCATGGCCTGAAAATCCCGGTTTGGGCATTCACAACATCGAAAAATGCTTTAATTCGGAGATATGGAATTTCAAACTTGCAGTTTTCGGATTCTAAGGGGCTAATGCATTGGTATGCCCCCTTAGAATTTGTGACGTCAGCGGAGATCTAACGATTTTTAAATCTTTTACTAAAACGTTTGGCAGCACGCGGTGGTATATGCTGCTTTGCGCGCAACAAATGCCGCACTTTCAAATAAAGTCGCTAGGAACAGCGGAGATCCCAAAAAGTAAACAAAAGTAAAAGTCTAATATCTTGAAAACCGGTGAATATTTTTCGATGAAATTTAGTAGATATTCATTTTTGCTCTTTCTGAACCGAGCGACATCACTTTCATGCCAATTCATTAACTTTTTTGAAGGTGGGAGGGTCCCTTTAATTTCATCATGTTTCATGTTAGCTGCGGGAAGCATGGCAACAGTTGCTATGGCCTATGCAGCTAGCAGCATTGTGCATGTGATGTTCAGTTGGTTGTGTTGAAGCCCGCGAGTTCTCTATGACACGGGCGCTGTTCAGCTCTTGTGTTTGCCCGTTGATATCTAAGTTCGCTCACACGCGTTGTATTGACCATATCTGTGATAACTGATAACTCTGCTGTCAGTGACTGGCGCGGTCAACATAATACACATAGTTTCTTTACTATGCTTTGTTACGTTATCGTTTTTGTTCACTGTTTATCGAACCTGAGTGGTGCGGGAGGCACGAATTGAGTGTTCCTTCAGATCTCCAAGATTTGTGCGCCCCGCCCCCGACTCAATGAATGCCTCTGTGTTTGATTTTCCCTCTCCGCGCGTGGCGTGCCGTCACCAACTCGAAGAACAGACCACCTTTATCGGTCGGGGTCACCCACCGGTTATCGGCCAGGCCCTGTCAGCGGCGCAACTGATACTGAAGAGGGTCGCACTTCTGTCCAACCATTCGGCAACACCCTGGTAACACCTGATAAGTGTGTTCTCCAGACAGGTAACACCCTGGTAACACCTGATAGGTGTGTTCTCCAGACAGTCATTGCGCAGTGCGCACCAGACAGACGGCCGGCGGGATCAGACCGCGCCGGACAAGAGCGTGCAGATACTGGCCGAGTTATGGTTCAGCACGGCATGGCTGAGTGACTTCAGGTTTATTGTTTGGAGATTGGGATCGTTTCGTTCTGTTCTCAAGGTAAATAAATCTTCCGTCCCGCATGGTAGACAGCTTTATTTCAGGTAAATGATGCCGGACACGAGAGACATCATACGACGTTGGATTATGTGAATATCGTGAATATCGTTTGTTTGTCTTGGCTACATGTTCGCAATATGTCTTGTGAGCCGCCTTATCGGCAACATGGGAATTGGGTAGCAAAGCTGTATCTATCAGCTACCTATAAATCTATCGGCTCATATTTTCGGGGAACACCTGGATATGCCGTGCCGAATGTCGAGAATAACCGCTATCATCCCCATTGACATTACCCATAGTCTTGAATCACAGTTGGTCGTTATCTCTCTCTCTCTCTCTCTCTCTCTCTCTCTCTCTCTCTCTCTCTCTCTCTCTCTCTCTCTCTCTCTCTCTCTCTCTCTCTCTCTCTCTCTCTCTCTCTCTCTCTCTCACTCTCACTCTCACTCTCACTCTCACTCTCACTCTCACTCTCACTCTCACTCTCACTCTCACTCTCACTCTCACTCTCACTCTCACTCTCACTCTCACTCTCACTCTCACTCTCACTCTCACTCTCACTCTCACTCTCACTCTCACTCTCACTCTCACTCTCACTCTCACTCTCACTCTCTCTTTCTCTTTCTCTTTCTCTTTCTCCCTCCCTCCCTCCCTCCCTCCCTCCCCCCCCCCCCTCTCTCTCTCTCTCTCTCTCTCTCTCTCTCTCTCTCTCTCTCTCTCTCTCTCTCTTTCTCCAATTCTCTCTAGATACCTTTCCGCCCATCGTCCTATCTCCCGCTCCATAGGAACTGCTTTTTGTGAAGGAGTCGGTACTCCCGTATTACATCGGCATTTTCGTGTATGTACAGAAAACTCTGTAAGCACAGTTCTTTCAGGGCACGGCAGAACGTCTTAAGTCCATTAGTATTGTGCCTGCCTACGGTTCGCAACAGACTTGAGTGCCGCATTTCTTTGGAGATCCACCGCTGATCTGACGGAATTCGCAATCCTTCCATCAACCGCTAAGCTGTGGTTCCGTATCCAACGCGTTTGGCGAGCAGTAGGAGGGTGCGGTTAACAGTCACTGTTCAAAGAAAACTCCACCGGTCTTCCCAGCACAAGGGATGACGTCATCGGGCCCCACTGGCGGATCCAGGGGGGGGGCCACGGGGGCCATGGCCCCCCCCCAAAGGCCTAAAGTGGCCTGTTTGGCCCCCCCCCCCAAAACGCCAGAAAAATTGCTAAGAAAATATACCTTGATGGAGGTTTTTAGCCACTTGGTGAAGTAAAGCTTTCCACAGCATAATAAGGAAGCAATATAGTAGCAGTGAGGGTCAGTCAAAAGTTGCGCGAGCGGAGTCGACCTTAAAAAAAGACTGTTGTTGGCACGTGTTTATGGCGCGGCAGCTGGTAGTTGGCGGTGTTTCGCGTGGTGTGGCATCACTGGCGGATCTGGGGGGGAGGGGGGGGGGGCACGGGAGCCTGAGGTGCCCCTGACAGGCCCGTGGTGCCCTTGCTAGGCCTGTGGTGCCCCTGGACCCTGGCAGGCCTGTGGTACAGTCCACAGCAGAAGTAATGTGGGGTTTCAGTCATGGGTATGTTCTGCTTCTGAAGCTTAGGAACGATTAGCCAGACTACAATGAAACTTTGAATGTAGCTTATATGTATCGTCACCCTTGCAGCTGCAACATTAGCTATTGACATCTTCTTTTCAATCACTTCGTATTAAACAATCGCCAGTCAAAGCCAACCGTTGAGTTTGGTAAAACCCTACATTACTTAAGCGGTGGGCTGTACCTCTGGCGGGCCTAGGGTGCCCCTGCTAGGCTGCTGATGCCCCTGGGACCTGACAGGACTGTGGTGCCCCTGACAAGCCTAAAGTGCCCCCAACAGGCCCGTGATGCCCCCGACAGGCCCAAGGTGCCCCTGCGTGATGCCGTGATGCCTGCGAGGCCGGCGCGGTTGCCCCCTGCGAGGCCGGTGGGGCCCCTGACAGGCTCATGGTGCCCCTGCTAGACCGGTGGTGCCCCTGGCAGGCCGCTGACAGGACTGTGGTGCCCCTGACAGGCCCAAGGTGCCCCTGCAAGGCCGGTGGTGCCCCTGTAAGGCCTGTGGTACCCCTGCTAGGCCTCTGGTGTCCCTGACAGGCCCATGGTGCCCCTGCGAGGCCGGCGGCGCCCCTGGCAGGTCTCTGGTGTCCCTGACAGACCTGGGGTGCCCCTGACAAGCCTGTGGGGCCCCTCACAGGCCCGTGGTGCCCTTGCTAGGCCTGTGGTGCCCCTGGCGGGCTGGTGGTGCCCCTACTAGGCCGGTGGTGCCCCTGACAGGCCTGTGGTGCCCCCGGGCACCAAGGGGGTCATGACCCATGTGGCCCCCCTTGGATCTGCCACTGATGCATAATATATTGATTTGTAAAGGCGTTATGGCTTATGCAATATGCAATTGCAGGCACTTGGTATCCCTCACTTATCCCTCATTGGGGCTCTGGCGGGCTCCTGAGGGCCCACGTCTATCTCCGGGAGCCCATATAGACAGGCTCCTCTGGGTCCTTTCAGTACACTATAGCATAAGAGGTCTCCATGCGAGTCCTATACATACATCTGAGGGCGTACCCTGATGTCTGAGGTACCCAACTGCAGCTCCAATGGTCTCTTCTTACACTGGCGGATCCAGGGAGGGGGCATTTAGGGCCATGCCCCC